TATTTATTCTAATACATATATATATATATATATATATATATATATATATATAATATGCAGATATAAAAGTGTAATTAAAAAAACAAACATAAACAAACAAGTAAATAAATAGACATAAGTGAATAAATAATAAAATGTTAAAAAAACATTTATTTGTAAGAAAATGTAAATAAACATGATAATAAATAAATATAATATAAAATATAACAAAATAAATAAATATAAATATAATAAATAGATATAAAAATTCACATTTTAATAATGTGAAATGTGTGACATCTGTAAATAAGCATAATAAGTAAATGAATAATCTAAAAATATAAAATTAAATATAATAAATAAATATTTTTAAAAATCACATTTTAATAAAGTAAAAATGTGATATCTGGCACCGATGTCTCTTATGACATTTCCGATGAAATGTGGATTGAAGTGCATCTGCACATTTTTATCTTTGGATTTTCACAGCTCAGGTGATGTTCCTTTCTTTGTGCCTCCTCGATTCAAGAGAACACCCCAACTAAACGAGGAGAAAGAGGAAAGAGAGTATGCTGAGGAATGGGAACTCCATCCAGATCTGCACACCCAGCGAGGCTCTGTAACATTAGGGAGTATGTCAGGAGGACTGGAAGGCATTAGACATCAGAAACGATGATAAAGAAAGTATAAAGAGAATGTTTTGACTGTTTGTTTCTCATTCTGCTCAATGTGGTTCTCGAGGTTGGTTCCCCCTTGGCAGCATAAGACCAGACCTGTACCAGCTCCCAGAGGAACCCAGTGAATGGGCCCTTCCCGATGGCTCAGCTGTTCGTCTGTGGTTCGCTCTGCGGTACCAGCAGGAGAGAGAGCAGCTGGTGGTGTCTCTGCTCCGTGCCGCAAACCTGCCCGTTCAGTGCCAGGGTAATGTCACACTGGTAAAACTGCAGCTGTTGCCATCTGATGATCGACGACACCGTCAAGCCAAAGCCCGGCGGAAAGGTTGTCATCCACAGTTCAATGACACCTTTGTGTTTCAGGTAGAGTCTACTGATAAACACTGGCAATCTAAGTCTCACTGTATGTGGGTACATTATCAGTCTTCCTCATTATGTGGAAATTCAAGTGCTTTAATGCTTCATGATTTGTTTGTGACTTCATTTTCAAAAACATTTTATTCTAATTAATGGAGAATCTATGAAGACATTTAATAGTTGATGTCTCCATCTACTGGCCATTGCTAGCAGGTTTTCTGTTTCATTCCTCTAAGCACTTAGAGGAATGTTCTGGGTTCAGTACAAGTTTGTGACAAACTGTTGATCATTACATTTTTGGGGTTAGTAATATTTTTTTTTAATGTTTTTGAAATGTTATTTAATGTCTCTTATCCCTCAACAAGGCTGCATTTATCTGTTCAGATACAGTAAAACAGTAATACTGTGAAATATTATTACAATTTAAAATTCATGTTTTCTATTTGAATATATTTTAAAATGTAATTTATTCCTGTGATGGCAAAGCTGAATTTTCAGTAGCGATTACTCCAGTCTTCAGTGTCACACAATTCTTCAGAAATCATTCTGATATGCTGATTTGGTGCTTTTGTTGTTCTGAAATAAAATAATAAAAATGTTAACTGAAATAAAATAAAATATTTTACTATTATAATTGTAATATTTTAATTCAACTAGTTCCCAAGGAAACATTTTCATTTAGTTTAACTTAATGTATTAATATAATAAATATAATATAATATAAAAACTAATTCAAACTATTAATAAAAAAATCTACAATACAGTATCTCATTGATACTAATTGGTGCTCAAGTCAAATTTCCAATTATTATCAATAATAAAATCTTAATATTTTTGGGGAAACTGATACATTTATTTCAGGATTATTTGATGAACAGAAAGTTCAAAAGAACAGCATATGTTTGAAATAGAATTGTTTTGTAACATTATAAATGTCTTTACTGTCAGTTGATTACTTTAATGCATCCTTGCTAAAGTATTAATTTCTTTCCAAATAAATAAATAAATGACCCCAAACATTTGAACGGTACAGTCAGAATAAGGTCTGTTACCTGATACCTCTGCCTTCTAACAGGTATCTAATAGCTGCGTTGACCACTGCTCTCTGAAAATGAGCATGTACACTGTGGACCATCAGAAGAAGCACCATCTTGTAGGTCAAGTCATGATTCCACTCAGACATTCTGAACTAAAGGAGACGGCAGGAAAAGTGCAGTGGAGGGATCTGGACAATGAAAGTGATCAAGTATGACACTTTAATATTAAAGGAATAGTTTACTCAGACATGAAAATTCTGTCATCATTTACTCACTTTCATGTCTTTCCAAACCTGCATGAATTTCTTCTGTGGAACACAAAATAAGAATTTCCACAAAAGAAAGAAAACCATTCAGGTTTGTCATTGAGGGTGAAAATCAAGTTTTCATTTTAGGGTGAACTATCCCTTTAATCAGATTTTGGGGGAAAGAATGCTGTACTAATGTGTGCTTATTACCTGTTGTAGCCCCTTTCAAAAAATGGTGACATCCAGGTGTCTTTGAACTACAATCAGTCCCTACACCGCCTCACTGTGGTTGTTCTACGAGCGAGAGGGTTGCAGTGTTGCAGTGATTCAGGTGAGAAACAAAGTAATAAAAATACAATGCCGTGACAAGAAGTCTTTGTGCATCTTTAACTTACATGTAAAATGATGTTACAGGTGTGTGCGCCCAGGTCTCTCTGAAGATACATACTCAGGTGGTGAGGAACAAGTGGACCAATGTGGCGAAAGGAAATAATCCATCCTTTAATGAGAGGCTTACCTTCAGACTCCTCCCCATGCAGCTGGACACAGCCTGTCTGACCCTACAGCTCCAGCAGCCCAGCACAGAAGAACCTGGTAACTGTCAGTCAATCATTTCCAAGGCGACAGGGCACCACTATCCTGCTATATGAAAGTGTTTAAAAAAGCTCCTTTAAAAAACATGTATTATCATTAACTAAAACTAAGCTATTAAGAACTAAAACTGAACTCTACACTCTAAAAAATGCTGGGTTAAATACAACCCAGCGCTGGGTAAAATATGGACAAACCTAGCAACTGGGTTGTTTTGACCCAGTGGTTTGGTTACTACCCAGAAGGTTGGGTTAAACATTTAACCCACCCGCTGGGTCAAAACAACCCAGTTTCTGGGGTTGTCCATATTTCACCCAGCGCTGGGTTGTATTTAACCCAGCATTTTTTAGAGTGTAACTAAAACTGAAATAAAAATAAATTAAACCTAAATAGTAATATTTTGAAAAAACAAATGACAAATGCATTCAACAAAATTACTAAAAATTCAACTTAATTGAAAACGGATAATATATAAAAATGAAAGTTAATTCAAAATGTTAAAAACACTCATATATTTATATGTACTAAATACCAAAACCTATTATTAGTAATAATAATAATAATAATACCATACCCCATTTTGATTAATCACAACTGGTTGACTGGTTACAACAAAGAAAAATGTACAACATTTAAGAAATATTTAAAACAAACAAATGTTGATGTAAAATGAATAGAAACATACATAGAAACATACAAGTTAATTCACCAGTGGTCTCAGATATTACAGTTATTTTAAATGCACCATTAAAAATTTGTTACCTGTGTATCTGTACTCAGTCACTATATTTTGTCTGTACTGGCAGTGTTGTTGGGCATTGTGGTCATTGGGCCGTTCATGTATGCGAGGGGCAGAGAGCTGGAACACTGGAACGACATGGTCAGCAAACCACAGGAGCTGGTCAGGCAATGGCACCCGCTGGGATCCGCTGACACAGTACAGGAACTCCAATGAACAACATGCAAGAAACTCAATGCCACCTCCCTCCTCTCTTTGAAAACAATGATAGCCTTTTTTCTTGTCTTTAAGGTGTAAGTGTTTTTTCAGTACAAGGCTGATGTCAGAAAATCAACTGGAATTAAACAATGTTTAAAGAAAAAGTTTATTGATAGCCAGTTGTGAATGAGGTTTGCATTTAATTACATAATTTTAAATGTTTGCTCTTCAAAGTCTCATCAGAACAATTGTGTGACTTGATGCAGGAGGTAAAAATACAGTCTAGTTGTACCACAGGGTTCTCACATTTTTAACCCATGAATTTCCATTCCATTTGTTTATGATTAATAGATAAGGATTTGGTTTCATTTTGATTCATTTCAGACTGATTTGCATCTATCCAGCCATACTTCAATCCTATTTTCCTATGTAGGGTCGCAGTGATTGTTACTGAATTGTTCAGACCAATTTGTGAACTGGTTTGATTGACTCATTGAAAAGAATTATTCACTCACTAATTGGACATATACTACCATTCAAAAGATAGGATCCATAAACTTTAAATAAATTACTAAATTGATGAAAAGAGACAGTAAACATATTTATACTGTTACAAAAACATTTAAATTCAAATAATTGCTGTTCTTTTAAACTTTATCAAACAATCTTGAAAAAAAAAACATTTTATACAACATTAACCAGCACAACTGTTTTAAATGTTGATAATAATGAGAAATGTTTCTTGAGCACCAAATCAGCGTATTAGAATGATTTCTGAAGGATCATGTGACACTGAAGACTGGAGTAGTGGTTGCTGAAAATTCAGCTTTGCTATTAACGGAATAAATTACTTTTGAAAATACTACATTATTACTAAATAAACCGTTATTTGAAATTGTAATAAAATTTCATAATATGACTGTTTTTACGATATTTTTGATCAAATATATGAAGCCTTGGTGAGAAAATTAAAAAACAATAAAAATCTTAACAACCCCATACTTTTGAATGGTAGTGTAGCAAACTACACAATAGCAAAATCTAGTCAGCCTGAGGGAACCCTGCACACAGTGTGAAATCCCCCTACCCCTACTAAGCCTACATGCATGCAATTGTAAGTCGCTTTGGATAAAAGCGTCTGCTAAATGACTAAATGTAAATGTAAATGTAAATGTAATATGGGTTCAGGTCACTTTGACAGAGGTTTTGTACATGGTTATTTTTGCAGTTCTCAATCCATAATAAAATTTACACTGCTCAAATTTGGTACATTAGGTAAGTCTGCTTTAACCTGGACTGTGTTTGGACCCAAAGACTGTAAACATAAGTCACAATTTTCATCTGTTAATCTATTTCCCTTGGTGCATTTTGCAACACGGTTGCATATTGTGACCTGGGTGCGTGTAGCTGCTCTGACCCCGAGCGCTGGGTCTGGATAATCCACTACTGTAAGGCCTCTTATGGACTAATCACAGAGTTCAGAAAGGCTAGCAGATTGCAGCTCGGCGTCCACCTGTTCTCATCTTCTATGTACAGTCAGCGTAGATCTACAGGACTTAAACTGCCTGGACACAACATGTCTTGTGACCTGGCTTGTGATTTTGGCTCTTGTTTGGGACCCTCGGGTTCAGGTGGAATGCATTCAGACGTGACGTCTGAGCAATAGGGAAATGAGAGCAATTATATTCTATGTTTGTGCCTTCAGATCCATTCTTTTTAACGAATGGCTGAAATGAGCTCCTTAAATGTTGGGACATGGTTCACACCAGATCACCAGTTTAGGCCACCTCAGATGTTCATTAATATTGTGAATCCAAAAGCACTATGATGAAGCCTCACAAAAGGGTATGAAGCACTGCTGCCCTCAGATTCCTGTTTCTCGGGATGTTCTTCACTGAGCATTTGATAACTTTATACAATTTAGGGCAGCTGCCTAGGTGGGCAAAGTTCGGTAAGCGGTGTCCAGTCTGGTGGCCGTTTTTCACGCCCCACAGCATTGTGGAGCACCTTTGAAGCACTTCTACTGCCACAGAGTACTGGCCGTTAGTCCACTGTTTCAGCCTGACCTCCATCACAGCTGAAGAGAAGCCGAAAGAGTACCGTGAGGTGCCACGGAAAACCCGCTCCCCCTCGCCGAAATACGCCCCTTCTTCCCAGGAGAGCATGGAGCCGTCTTCTTCACCCATGTCGGCCAGGTTACAGATGGCCAGAAGGCAAGAGCTCAACAGTGTCTCGTTTTCACTGTACTGGAGAAGAACCGACACCAGTCGTGGGACAGCTCCAAGCCTCAGGAATCGCTCCTGCTGCAAGTCTGGCAAGAAAATCATCACTCTTACATTCCAAACTCAAGAGTCAGCATCAAGACTGCTAGACTCTACTTAGCACCCTATTTTTCCTGAAAATCTGCTATGAAGTTATCAGAGGGACACTCCACCCAGAAATGAAAATGTCATGATCCCTCAAATGGTTCCAAACCTGGATTCATTTAGTTTTTCTGCAAAACACAAAATAATATAATTTGAAGAACATTGGGAACCAAACAACATCGGAACCCCTTTGACTTCAATTGGATGGACAAAAAAAAAAAAACACTGAGGAATTTCTCAAAATATGTTCTTTTGTTCTCCACAGAATAAAAGAAAGTCACAGGTTTTAAACGACATGAGAGTGAGTAACGTATGACTTTAAAAATATATGTTTATTTTATCTCTCTTGACATTTTTGAGCTATTTGAGGTTATTTGACTCCGAATCCTACCATTAAATGTTTTACAGTTAAATTATATCTGGCATTATTCACACACAGCTCTTGCACACTCTACTTTTCTATCTCTCATGTGAATGTCACCTGTTCCAGTGAAATCACAATATAAAAGGCATTCAAATACAATATTGTTTCCAATGACAAACTGGTGCATTTTCGAAAGTTTTCAAAATTTCAACTATTTTAAAATTTCAAACATTTTTTTAAACTACACTTCGTTGTCTCAGATTCAGGTTTGAGGCTATAATCCAAAAATAGCCTCTGATACAAATCAATTCAGATCAACCTTTGTTATGGCAAATAGGGTGCTACAAATGTTACTAAAATCTGTCTTACACAATGACATATTAAAGTATGACTAATGCCTCTCACATCAGTAGCGCTTTTAAGGCCTGTGGTTAGAAGAATAGGGCAAAAGTTCAGGTTCACTCACTACTGTCATAGCAAATTCTCGCGATGGCCTTGCTAACGTGAAGGAGAAGGTCCTGGTCTTGGCTTAGCAGTAAGGTCACAAGGGCAGACACAATGCCTGTCTCAAAGCATTGCTCTCTCACAGGAGCTAAAGAAAGATGGAATTATAGAATAATCAGTAGTCAGCCAGTGCTCTTTGACTATGAGTATTAAGTTAGATGTCAAACTCCCATTTTTGCTCCCAAAAGCTCCCATTATTTGCAGTTTATACAGCTTATTAAAGGGACAATCCCACCAGCAACCTGAGGTTGTTGTAGCTAAGGTCTTTTTCAACCTTTCGGTTACAACTCAGCCCATATTTTAACCACAAGGCTACACCAACAAACACATGCATTATATTTGTACATAAAACATTTGTTCTTACCATCTCTGGCCAGTTCAGCTACCAGTCTGGCAGTGTGAGTAGTGAGCGTACTCTTTCTTCTTAAAATCTGAGCCAGAACAGGCAGAATCCCGCTTTCTACCACCTGCTCTGATGCGCCTTTCTCTAGGGCAGGAAAAACACATTACACAAAGTTTGGGGTCAGGAATATGTATTAATGTTTTTGAAAGAAGTGTCTAATGTCTGCATTTTATATGATCAAAAATACAGTAAAACAGTAATATTGTGAAATATGATTACAATTAATAACAGTTCTCTATTTTAATATATTTTAAAATTTCCGTAATGGCACGAGCTTTCCAATATGCTGATTTAGTGGTCAAGAAGAAAGTAATTTCTTATTATTATGTTGAAAACAATTGTGCTGCTTAATATTTTTGTGGAAACTGTGACATGTTTTCCGGAATTCATTGATTCATTAATGAAGAAAGACTTCAAACGAACAGTATTTATTTAAAGGGGTCATATGACGTTGCTAAAAAACATAATTTTGTGTATTTGGTGTAATACAATGTGTTTATGCGGTTTAAGGTTCAAAAAACACATTATTTTCCATATAATGTACATTATTGTTGCTCCTCTATGCCCCGCCTTTCTGAAACGCGTCGATTTTTACAAAGCTCATCGTTCTAAAAAAGCGAGGTGTGCTCTGATTGGCCAGCTATCCAGTGCATTGTGATTGGCCGAATGCCTCAAGCGTGTGACGGAAATGTTACGCCCCTTACCATACTGTGGTGCCGTCTCCCAGCATGATGAGACAAAACCAATAAAACCCATTACAAACGAGGCATTTAAATACGTTTTTTTTTTTTTGGGGGGGGTAAAATTATAAATGTCTTCACTGTATTTTTTGATCAATTTAACGTGTCCTTGGTGAACAAAAGTATTAATTTTAATTGTACTGACCCCAAACCTTTGTACGTTGGTGTATATAAAACCCATCCCTCTGAAAGTACAACAAATTGGATAAATTGTGTACATCATGCTAGACCATTCTTGTCCGTAGTGAACATACGCACAGATTAACAAATGATGTTTCCACAAACTACAGAGGTCGCTCACAGCTGGCTACCTGGTTGCTTGTGTACAAAGGAGCAGTCTGGCTAATCGTTTGTGTCACTTAATGGCTCTCACAGAGACAAATGCGGATTACAGCGTCTCTGTTTTCAAATCCACAAGAGTTGAGTATCCTTTTCACAACCATCACTGTTGATGTATTAATAATGGTTTCTCACCTGTGCCTGGGTGATTTGTGATACACTATGTAAGGGATAATGCACAGTCAGCTGGTCATTATCACAAAATAAACCTGACAGTACACTATCCTGCTTTTTACACATGAAACATTGATTTAATCTGTATTATTTAACTATGTGAGAATAAAGTTAATGCAAAGTGGTATCAGAGACATAAAACTAGCATAGCTATGAAAGAAACCATTTGCTTAGAACGACAGCTAATTATACGGTTTGGAGGCCATTATGTAAAAATATTCAACCTTAGAGTGTTGCAATTGACCAGGCAAAATCTAATTTTCCAGAGAGACACATAACTTATGATAGTAGCCTCAGTCACGTCTAGCCAAAGTGTAACAGCAATACGTACTAAGCAGCTTTCAGAACTCACTCAAAGTGCTGGCATATTCTGCATTTAACTAGCTCATACCAATTGACAACAGTTACAATTTACTTTATACAGGCATAATCTATTAAGAAATGTCACAAAATATTATATTATAATTATAACATAATATTGTTATAACAATATTATAACATAACATTATAATATTATAATGCTCAGAGGGCCTGGTTTCTGTTACATAAGCGCTCAACTAGTACTAAGCATGTCTGCATTGACTCACTTCTTTCTCAAGTTTATTTAGACATATTTAAACACACCAATACAACCACATGTACATTCTTGATCTGGCTTCTCCCGTCCCAAACAAATAATCTAAATCTTAAATTATATAACAAAAACCTGAAATACTCACTTCTTTCTATGGCAACATTCAATGCTGTGTCCAAATATGGCTTTAGTTCCTCCTCGACGAGTTCTGTGCTCACACTGATGGCCTCTATTGCAGCACTTAGTGAATCTGAGAAAAGAAAATGTACATAAAAATGCACATCCTTCAGACAGTCTTCGCATTGTGCCTGTTGTTACTTACCCTTGGGCGCATTGGGCAGTGGACGACTGGCCCCCATCTTGTCAATATGTCTATGTGAGGTTGTGATGACCTGTTTAGTTCTCAGCACTGCTTGTGTCCCAGATTACCACGGCAGTCTAAACCGTGTTTCTGATCTAAAATCTCACACAGCTCCATCTCTTGCTTTGTATCAGTATATGTTTGTGGGATATTGTCCTTTTTTGTCCTCCACCTGTTTTCTTTCCACTCTTATTTGGGCTCTGTATGTTTGCTAAAACAACCTCCTCCCTCCCACACTCATCACATTTATTTTCTTCCTCTCAATCCCTGGCTCTGCACCGCCTGCTCTGATTCAGACCTTCACTAATGCACTCCAAATCCTCAGTCTGATGAAAGCCTCACAGTGGACAGGATACCTGTAGGAAACCCTGTGAACTGCAGAACGCCCACATCAAATATCTCCTAGAGGGCAGAAGAGAGAGAGGAACAACAAACAGACAAACAATATCATTGGCTCAGCTACAAATCTGACTCCATGGTGAGGATTTTGTCTGCTTTTTCGCGAGGGATTCAGAAAAGCTGCTTTGTGGGGAAATCTTTTGTGAAAGTACAAAAGATTACAAAGTAGTTGAAGTGAACATAATTGAAAACAAAGCAATTAGCCATTATTGATATATGAGAGGACGTATAAAACAGACCAATTACAACAGTAACTACATGTTATTAAATTAAACAGTTTTACATGTTCTGAAATAATTGTGCAAATGTTGCCACCACAATGCTAGTATGATGCTATGTGGCTGCAAAGCTGTTCTGAATGGTTGTAAACATATTGTTACATGTTACTTACTGGATCATATCAAAAATGTCTCTATGATGTTCTGGATTGTGTCCCTCCTTCCATATTTTGCTGTTTAATGAAAATAGCAAGATGTTTCACAAAAACCCAGTTTCAGATATCTCTGGCTCGTAGCACAAATAATGTGAGATAAGCAACGCACATTAAATTTTAACACCCGTAAAATGTTAATACTTAGGGTTAAGGGTTTGTTTAAATCCCTAACCCTAATTATGTGCAATAGCTATTGCAATAAACCCATTTGATAAATTTCAGTCTTGTATTAGAGTGGATCCTTTCACGCTCTGCTAGCAATAAAAAAGTAATAAATATACAAACTGCTTAAAAAAGGTAATGCTTTTAATACAAGCATATGACGAGCAATCTGCAAAACGTACAGAGTACAGGCTACAGTCATTCACATACACTACATATCAGACACAAACAGAAAAAGGAAATAAATAGTCCGAAAAATCAAGAGAAGATATGTTCTTACTCAAACTAAATTGCTTGGGGTTTCTATGATTAAGTAAAACAGAATCAAATAACACTTCAGAGAGAAAATTCTAAAATGAGACTAACAGAAACTGATATTGTGATTCATTTCATGAGAATACAACATAGTGCTTGAAAAAAAAATGCTTGTGTGCTACTTTAATAGCATACGCTGTCTGTGTACATTTGTTCTTTACCACAAATGACAAAACAAAAGATTGAGAGCGACACATGATTGGTAAAGTATAAATCAAAACATCTCTGTCGAACAGCTTCTCAGACCCACATTATTTTCTTGATCAACCAGTTTGGGAGGAAAACAAAAAACTTGAGAGAAGGAGAGAAGTCTAATGTTTATAAAACTATAATTTTCTATGAAAAGCTTTTTGCACTCAGAATTCACAGTGTCTCTCAGCACCTTTCAGGCACATGATGTTACGCAAGACCTGCATTGGTGGCGTTAAGTCCACTGGAAATGGTTTCGTATCCTACAGAGACTAGTGTTAACACGCTGCTCTCCATCTCTGTGGACTGCTGAACTTCAGGAACAACAGAATCCAGCCGCATCTGTTTTCCTTTCTTCTGTCCCCTTCTGCCCTTTTCTTTAGGTTTGCCGTCTTCCGTGGTGGCTTTGGGCTTGCGGTTGCGTTTCCTTATCCTTCTCACTGGAGGTTCGGGTTTGGGGTCAGTGTTCCCTGAGAGGATTCGGATTTGTCGGTCAATGACGTTATCTACGATATCGAGAGCCACATCCATCATGCCATTACCAAGACCATGTGTAACATTGGAGAACAAATGTGTATTCACAGGGTCATTAAAAGTCTTCCGCATCTCCTCTAGATAGTTCCTGTTTAACAACAAGAAACAACCAAAATTACTGGTTGAATCACAGCAGAACCATTTAGCATTCTTTTTACAGGACTACCAATACTTTACCTTGTTTCAATGATTTTTGACCAGTGCTGTACTTGGTTTGTTTCAGGTAGCAACTGTTTCGCCATATTCTCATAATCAACATATTGCAGTGCAAAATCCTTCATGTCTTTGCAAAGGGCAGCTGTGTCACCTAAAAAGAATGAAAATTCATGTAATTATGTAAAATTAATTTGCTTCAACCTTGTCTAAATTGATTTTAGGTTGTGGTTAAAGAGTTCACCCAAAAATGACAACTCTGTCATCATTTACTGACTCTCAAGACTTACTTTCTTCTACAAAACAAGATCTTTTAAAGTATATTTCAACTGATTTTGCCCATAAATTGAAAGTCAGTGAGGTCCAAAACCACACTGATGACTTTCATTTTATGTGCAAAAGGCCATTTTATGTTCAAACTGGTTTGATTTTTCATTTTTTTAAGTATATTGTCCAGACGTACCTTCAGTTAGTTTAGAAAAGGAACTGGATACTGCTGTATTGGTGCTTGGTGACAGTCCAAAGACATTTAGGGACTCTAAGAGTGTTTTCTTACTAGCTGGACCTCGACTCACTCTCGTATAAGCAGCCAGAGATCGGAGAGACATCTTCTCAGGCGGTTCCAATCTCCTCTTCACCTCTTCATAAAGGATCTGGTACTTGCGGGCCTTTGAGCTCTTCATGTTAGGGTCCAGCAGGGAGGCTACCTCTGCAAAAGGGACCTGCAGTGAGTTCACTGCACCATCTTGAGACGGCGCGGCACTCTGGCCTTCTGATGGACCTTGTGTTGATAAGTGGTCTTGGGTCTGAATATGAGCCTGTGCTTCCACATGACCTTGCGGTAGAGTCTGCAGATGTGGAGCAGGCTGGATGTGTGACTGAGTCTGGATGTGAGTTGGCATCTGGATGTGCGATGGGATCATGTGCGGTACAGCGTGACAGGAGACTTCTTGAGGTACCACGTGCTGTGCGATGATTTGTGCGATGTTTGGAGGTTGTGGTTGTGGCTGATACATGGTTATAATGGGGTTCCCGACAGAGACGTGGACGACATCACTGTTCTGGGGAACAGCGGACATGTGCATACCGGCAGACGGATCCATCTTTTTCTCACAAGCACAATGATGACCAGCTTTTTAACGCAAATTTGTATCTTAAAAAAAAAAAGTATAGTTAAATAAACATGCACACACACACACACACAGGTTTGTTTTTGTGAAAAGTGGGGACATCCCATAGGCGTAATGGTTTTTATACTGTACAAACTGTACCAACCCTACACCTAAACCTACCCCTTACAGGAAACTTTGTGCTATTTCAGATTTTCAATACACTCCATTCTGTGTGATTTATAAGCGTTTTGAAAAGTGGGGACATGGGGTAATGTCCTGAAAAGTCACCTTCTCCTTGTAATACCTATGTCATACCTTTGTCATTATACAAATTTATGTCCTCATTTGTCACAAAAACGCGTGCACACACACACACACACACACACACACACACACACATACATACATATATAAACATAATCTTCCTATATTTTATATTTAAGATAACCTCTAAGTAAGTTCTTATAAGTACAAATGTATATAATGTGTGTGTGTGTGTGTGTGTGTGTGTGTGTGTGTACTTCACAAAAACGCGTGCACACACACACACACACATATATATATATATATATATATATATATATGTACACACACACAGCAATTTTTGAATTGGTGAGTTAAAATGCTAACATTTTAGGAACATGTATTAGGAAAGTAAATAGTCAATTTAGATATCATTTTGACTTTATTTTTAAAATTATTATTTCATGTGATCACTTTATTTATGTTTATTTATTTTAAATTCACCCGTTGCTAATTTTATAGAATTTTTGGTAGTATTAAGACTATACTAAATTAAGATTTTTCTTTTTTTATTCAGTGCCACATGAACCAGAGTGAACACATTTTTACAACATTAGCTGCCAGACAAAAAAAGTTAAATTAATTTCAGTGTTTTCAAAACACTAGATTTATGATTTAATTTATTTAAAAGCCCATTTATTGATATGCTAATGCTATTTTCGTTTTCTGAAAATAAAACAGCACTTCAAAAGACACATTTCTATCATACACACCAATTTTATGTTTACGTTTTTTTAATCCTTCCAAAAAACAAACAAACAAAAAAAAAAAACAATCTCGAGTAAACACAATGATAAAACATGCAAAATTGTTTCTTTTTCCAGTCCAAAAAATTCACAGGTCTATGAAATGTTCTTTTATGTTTCCAAACATGCTAAACTTGACAAATCCTATGTAGTATTTTGTAGGATGCTTCTTAAATTTTGTTATTTATGCAAAATTTGTTTAGCATTCCATTATTTATTCCAAATAAAGAAGACAACAAAATATTGCTGTAGGAAAGGAGACAGAACAAACAGCATTTCTCATGACCTTATTGCAATTAGCACATCTTTGTTCAAAGATACAGGTTGGAACGCGAGCCGACATGACGTTTTTGACAGACGGCTGAAGTTTGGAGCGCGTGACTGTATGTATCTTACACACTCTGTGCGTTACAATCACCCAGTAAAACAACTGGGTTGCAGCACCTGCGTTTGATAAAGAATGTGTACGTGATATAACGTTTCGTTTATTTCACATAGAGAAGTTATATACACAAAGAGCCGAGTACAAAAGTCTGAGCTGACTTTGAGAGGAAAGATAATCTACTTGTTTTGATGAATAGTAGGACAGGCCAAAGCCACCATTATGTTTGAATGTTGGTGATATTCCACCGTAATTATGTGCTCAAAAGCACCCAAACCTCCGTTTCATTCGGTCTGTTCTGGTTACGAACGCTAACCTTGAATCAGACACAAGTTAGTGACAGTATTCTTACTTACCGCTCTATGGTTAGAGTCGTATTTAAACCGTACTGATCCTAGAACAGTCCATGGCGAACCGATCGAAGGTCTCCTTCTTCACCGATCCTATTTCGGCGGGTTGCAAATCAGCAGACGGGGCACAGACCCATAGCTGCCGGAGCTCGAACGCTCATTGGCCAATACCGCTGTCAATCATGTTCATTGGAAGCGCTGATTCGGGGAGGCCTGTGTCAGTCATGTTACGTCAGAGTAAAAAGGCGGAATATCCGGAGCTTAAAATGGTAGGACGTGAACAAAGCTTCCAGATGTCTTGTCTGT